CAGGGCCTTATGGGAGGTGGCTGGTGCAGGGCCTTATGGGAGGTGGCTGGTGCAGGGCCTTATGGGAGGTGGCTGGTGCAGGGCCTTATGGGAGGCGGCGGGCTGGCTCTGCGCAGGTGCGGGGCGTCGTGGCTTCGTCTCGCGTTTGGGTGTGCAGCAGGTGAGCCTGGGCAGCTTCGCTGCACCTACATTGACTCGCGTCAAGACCAGGGTCTGGAGGGTACCGTGGGTCTACCGGAGGATGAAAATTAGGGGATCAAAGTGAAAGTGGAATGCGGGGGCTTGAGGCCTCAAATCTAGGGTTCCGGTTGCAATGGACGCTCGAGATTTGGCTGTGGAGAGTTGAATCCTTCCAGCTTCACTAACATAGTCACTTCCCCCAGCTGTGATCACCTCAGACTCCCCGTGTCTGTGGAATCTGCTGCCCAAATGACTCCTGGATACTTTTCTCCTCAGACTCCATCCTTTGCTCAGACACATCGTATCCCTCTGCCCCCAGCTGTGCACCCCAGGCTGAAGCCATGAACCCAGAACAGTGGTAGTGACGGACCAGTGGCGTGTCCCCCTCACGTAGACCCCATCATATGGGCCTCAGATTTCTCTCGGAGTTTTTGGTCATGGACTTTACAGTGCCAGTGTCAGAAGCCCCTAACTTGAGTGTCTCCAGATAGGTATTCTGGGATGTGCTTAGTGCAACATTGAGCTGGGCTGGGTTTCTACCTGTGGGATCCTCGCTGAGGGTACAGGGATTCGGGGCCCAGCAGAAAGATGCCAGCTAAGGAAAAGCTATTCCTGAGCCCTTAGGGGCAAGTCACAGTCTAAAGAATGAAGGTTGCAAGCAGCTGGGACCCATATTGAGGGGCTACAGAGGATGTAGGTGATGTGACGAGTCCGGGAGGAAAGAGCTGCCGGGCTGCAGGGGTTACTTAGCAGACTTGGGTCAAGGGATCATTTTCAGAGGACAAGTAGAGACCATGAGGGTTTTGACTCAGACTAAAGAGGCAACAACGTAGCTGAGGTAGTGAACTCTCTGTCGGGTGGAAGAGACAAAACACCAGAGGGCA